AGAGGGAGCCCTCCCGGCAGCCCCCCAATCAGCTCCTACCCACCCAACCCCAGCGCCTGCTGATGGGCCCCGTGGATCAGCGCCTCCCGCCTGCCGTGAACAGCTGTTTCGCGGTGTTCAGGAGGCTGTGAGGGGAGAGGGGAAGGAGCAAGGATGTGGTGTGCTTGGGGGAGGGGCGGACCTGGATGGGAAGAGGTGGGGTGGGGCCCTGGGGGAAGGAGTAGAGTGGGGGGTGGGCCCTGGGGCGGAGCAGGGGGGTCAAAAAAAATTGGCACCTGTGACCATAGGGATAATTACTACAGCCAGGACAGATTAGGCATTTTAGAACCCACTACTCAAAGAATTAAATTTAAGTGTAAGAGAAATAAAAATGATGAAATGCATAGACCAGTCAAAACTCTAAAATAATACACTTTGAAAGAACAAAATTACAAAGAATATACGTGTATTGCAGGAAGTACCAAGAAGTAACAACAACAATAATACAAGTATGTGTTGGGAGGTGAGTGTGAAAGAGACAGAGTGTGTGTGTGAGAGAGAGACAGAGACACTGTGTGTGCTGGCTGCTGGGGAAGTTTCTTTGAGACACTCACTGAAAGCTCTCCTGTTCTGTCCTGAGCCCTGTCTCCCCTGCCCTCGCTCTGTGGAGATAGGGTACGTGGGCAGGGGGCAGGGGGAGAGACAGAGAGAGAGAGTGTGTGTGTGTGAGAGAGAGAGAGAGACTGTATGAGCTGGCTGCTGGGGAAGTCTCAGAGACAGTGCCCTGTCTTTTTAAGAAAGGCACTCACTCCCTGCCCGGAGGCTGGAGTCTTCAGACCTCAGACCGCAGCAGCTCCAAGTTGTGAGCCAGGCTGCCCCCTCTGCCCTGCTCTGTGGAGATGGGGTACAGGGGCAGGGAGTGGGGGACACTCTGACATCAGCCTACTCCCACATCAGCAGTGGGCTCTGCACAGCCAGCAGGAGGGTCCCGGGAGTAGCTGCAGGAGCAACGTGGCTGCAAAGCAGCCTGGGGAGGGGCACCCGAACACACGCTGCTGGATGTGTGCGCTCTGCTAATCAGCTGCCCAGCACTTGAATCTCTCCTGGGTGGCCGCCCAGCCATGCAGCTTACAGGGAACACAGAAGCAGATCTCTGATGGGGTTGAGTACATCCGGAGGCCCCCTGCTGGAGGCCTTGTGGCCCTGATTCACCCCACCCGAAAAAGAGCAGAGGAGAGGTCCTCCAGGAAGCTCAGAGTGGCTGCTGGGGAAGCAGCCAATCAGAGGGGCTGCTGGAGTGGCCAGTTAGGGGCCAGGAGGGCCATATAAAAAGGAGCAACAGGAACAGAGCAGTCTGTTGTTGCCTAGGGCTGAAAGAGAGAATACCAGGTTTGGGGAGCAGCAGCAGGACCATGAACAGCTCAGTGTGGGCAAGACTAAATCCAGGAAGGCTGTTGAAGACTGGGGGAGCAAAGAAGGAGCTCCTGGCTGGCTATGAGGATTGAGCAAGGACTGAACCCAGAGCCTAGTCAGACCAAACAAAAGTCTTGTAATGGGCCCTGCTGATCTGGTTAAAGACTGAACCCAGGGAGGGCTGCCAAAAGGAATGTGCCAACTGAGGGTGCCATGATGGACCCCTGTGGGACTGTTATAGAAGGCAGTGTTTCCAGGGAGGAAGTCTTGGCAGTACAGCCCCATGCCAGGGCTGTGGGAAAGAAAAGACTGTATACCCAAGAAGGGGCTTTGTTTGTTCCATCTACAGACAGTGTGTGTGTGACTTGGCCAGAGGACTGAGTCACTGAAGACCAGTTGAAGAAACCATCTGCTAGGGGTGCGCTCATGAGAGGTGAGTACCACCCCATTCCAAGGCAGAGAGATTGTAGACACATCAGTGGCCAAAGGGGGGCTGCTCATGAGAGGCAAGTGCCCACCCCATTACAAGATCTTAGAGAAAACATCATTTGTAGGAGGAAGAAAATATTATTCCTTAAAGGGAACATCATCATATGGTAGAGCATTAAACAAGTTGCTAGCCAGGAGTTCACTCATCTAGAGAAAAATATCATCAAAGGTGGAAAAAAGAGTAGTAAAATCTGTTGCCTTCTAAAATATTAGTTAAAACATAAAATTTATTAAATGACAGAATAAAATATTTTAGATATTTAAAACCAAATGTGATTGCTCTGTGCTGCAGAGAGCAACATTCCTCAAAGACTCAGCGGCGAACATCTCGGCTCATCCGCACTTCCGAGGTCACTTGTCATTGACAAAGCGTGTTAGCGTTGGTGCAGCTGAACCCATGTTAAGCATGGTCAGGATAGATTAGGACAATGCGTTCAGCCCCATTTTAGTCATTGTGGTTTAAGGGCACACATCACATAGGCCTCATTTACATTAGAGTACTCAATCAATGGTGCGTCATTTGGGTGCATTGTGTAATCAGTAGCACTGCTGATTGAGTGCATCCAAGCTACTCACTTTAAGTCGGTGCAAGGCTTACACGTGTGTCCACATAAGGCTACCTTATATTGATTGAGTGATCTCATCTTCAGACTCGCTACACATTGCTTAAAGCCTAATTTCTTGTCAGTGCCCAGTGTTTTAGGGATCCAAACCAAACTGCAGTGGCTCAGTGCTACCAGAAACCACAGCAGCTCTAATCCACACAACCAGCTGGGTTGGATTTGTAGGGTTAAACATTGACTAGCAACTGCTAAAAGTAGGGTAAGAAATTTTTTAAAATTTTAAGATGGAATTGCTGGGAAAGAAGTTAGGGTTCTGCTGACAGACAGACTGCATTTGAGAACAGATGGAGCTTAAACTACAGAAAAGGACTGTTCAGCCAAGTTTTGATTCTGCATAAGGGACATGTGCCCCACTGATTACTGCTTTGGAATGATGTTCCCCAGTGGTTACTGCTTTACATAAGAACAGCCAAGCTGGGTCACACCAATGGTCCCTCTAGCCCAGTATCCTGTCTTCTGACAGTGGCCAATACTAGCTGATTCAGAGGGAATGAACAGAACAGGGCAATCATGAAGTGATCCATCACCTGTAGTCCAGTCCCAGCTTCTGACAGTGAGAGGCTAGGGACACCTACAGCATGGGGTTGCATCCCTGACCATGAGCCATTGTTTCAGAGAGCACGAGAGAGTGTATTTACAGCATCGTGATTACACACACACACACACACACACACAATCTCCCCAGAGTGTAGAATTTCAGCTGCCATTAATAAAATCCATTTTAATCAACTCTCTGTGCTGATTGCCCCCATATCAATAAAAAAGCCTGTTGCTTACAATTCCACGCAGACCTATGCGGCAAAAAATATTTATGCTTCAAAGCAACCTGTTCTCGGTTAAAGGCAGCACTCTGATGGCTTAGTGACCTTTGCTTTGACTCAGAATATTTGCTTGCTAACTGTAAACAATCCAACAGGGTGGTACTGGTTTACCTAAGACACTTTTCTTAGGGTGCTGCTGAAATCTGCCTGCATTATGAAACTAAGGATGATTCTAGCTGACCCATGCAGGAGCATGCAAGGAGCCTTCTGATACTCCCTGCCCCTTCAAATATTTGCACTCCACACGGGCCAGCCACAATTGTAGTGCCTGCACTTCATAGCTGGGACCACCACCTGAAAAGTAGGTGATGAGCGGACCACAACAGGGAGAGGTTTACTATACCCCTAGTGTCCTTGCAAAAGGTGCATCTAGCTATGTGAGACCCACTTGGGATAATCCTCATGGTCACCAGGTGGACAAGAGATCCTGAGCCAGCATGCTGAAAATGCCCTTCCTGAGGATACTGAAGTCCCCCAAGGCTATGGATGCATGATATCTGCTTGCCCATGTTCTGACAATTGGGCCTCTAACTTTTTGCACACGTGAGAATTAACCATGAAAGGTAGGTCAAGATATCTTCAGTCAGGAATACTATAAACAGGTGCAGGCAAACCAGACGGAGAGAGTGAACTAGCCCAAACGAAAAGGCCTAGTGATATAACTCAAGGACTGGGTTAAGATCTTGGTCAACAAGATGATGTGGATCTGGAACTTCATGGTGGATATGAGGCTTAATTGGTGGACAAAATAATGGAGTGAATTATGCCCCATCTTATGCCCTGCTTTTTGGGGTTCTTAAGAAAGGACTTTGAAACATCGTCATGGCTTCATTTCCCAGCTCGACTCATCTCGACCTGGCTTAGCTCAATTTTTCCCAACCCCAAGACAGTAGGCGCAGACTAGATGGAGGGACTTTCTTCCTGAGAAGCTATGGCTTGTTCTTGTGGATGAAGGGTGAATATGGATAGCACTGAAGAAATGAGCTAGCTAGTTAGATCAGTTTAGAACAAATGGGCTGGGTATATATTTTGCTGTGGCATGGCCCAGAATAAACTCAGTTGGTTTATATCTAGACATTTGCCTTTAATGATATTTCAGTCAGATTTTATAGTTTTATAATTTTTTTTACATGAAAAAATGTTCAGTGTTAAACAAAAAGGAATTATCTGAAAGGAAAAGCCCCCCCACACTGTGCTACATCACAGCTATCAAAATCTGAAAGTCCAGGACACAGTATCCAGGACTCTGACTTCCCCTGTGAAGCAGCTAGGAGGTTAACTGGGGTCTGCAGGCAAACGGCTTAGAGAAGGAGCACAAGCTTAGAGACTTGTCTGTAAGAGACTGTGCCAGTCTAATTCCCTTCCAGCAGCCCCTCCCTACAGGAATGATATGCAAATAGAGGCACAGAGCCCTGCTGGCAGCAGGCTCAGCGCACAGGGCACTTGGGATTTCAGAGGAGAGTGTCTTACTTTTGTGTGTGTGTGTACATAAAACTTTGGAGCAGATATGGGAGCAGCGACCTAGGAAGAGTGTTATACACACCCACGCCTTGGTTTACCTGGTATACCAGCTGAGAGCAGCTCTGCAGGGAGACCCCAGCCGCTCAGGCTGAGTGTACAAGAGACTGTTAGAAAGAGAGAGGCGTACTGGGCACTTAAACCCTCTAACTTCCCAATGGGGCTCTGGCTGCTGGTGCTGCTGGTGCTTCAGGCAGGTGAGTACAAATTCTGTATAGCTGCAGTTGTTGGATCCCTGGGAGCATCTCTATCTCTGCCACCCTCCTGCTTCTCCCACTCTGTGTGAGGGCAACTTCCCCCTTCACTTTGGCAGCCCATGTACTGTATTAGCTTTGCCTAGTTCTACTTGCCCAAAGCAAATCATTGGCATTTGGACCGGTGAGTTAACTATCGTTCATTTTCTCATTATCACGGTAAAGGAAGTCTGAGTATATTTTGTGCCTGGGCTGATTCATTTCCATGGTAATTCTGTAAGACTGTAACTGTAGGAACATGTTTTATTTTCTCTTCTAATTTAGAAAGTTTCCAGTTTTATTCTGAAAAACCTCACGTGTTGACTTTTCTTCTCTGAAATATTGTTTTCAGTTTCACCCCTTTTCTTTATACCGGTGACTCTTGAGCAAATTGTTTCCAATTCATCTAACGTTCAAGGAAAAAAAAGGAATTGAAAAAGCAAATCCCCTTTATAAAAACACAGTTGTATTCTATACCCCTAAACACTGAGGTAGCACTAAGGTTTGTGATCATTAGTGCAGTACAATTTGATTAAGTGTAGAATCCTGTATTAAGGCAGCATAAAGGCTGACAATTTAAACACTGGAAATAACAGGAAAGTTTAAGCTGTCAGATCCATCTTAATTCAGCCTGATTTCATATACAAGATAGATGAAAGTGAACAGTTAGTAGTTATTGAAAGTACTCCAGCTGTGTCATTTGGCTAAATTCAGTTTGCTGTGGGGTTTCTCCTACTTTTCCAAGGATCTTACAGCAGTGTTAACTCTTTATGTGTCACTGAGTCATTTCAATTACTATTTAGGTTGCTAACTGTTCAACTGAATGTATAGTGCACTTGCAAGGCAAGCAAGTTAAAGCTGACTTCAGAACCTTAAAGGGATACTAATGTCAAATTGAAATATAATCAATTTAAAACAAAAAAAGTAACATCAGATACTACACTGGCCCCTGCTTTGTTTTCAAACTCAGGGGGAGCGTAGATTCTAAAGCAGCTCATTCAGGCTTGGTTCACTGGGGTTCTTTTTGTCCCCCAGGAATAACTGTGATGTTGCTATAGTTAATAGTTTCTCAGGGATGTTCCTCTGGGACTGGATGCATATTTCTGAGAAAGAAACAGCCTCCCTCCCATACATGCTGGATATGATCTGGATATAGGTTATCTGGGTGCAAAGCCAGAGGGATGTCGCTAATTCCAGTGGAATTACTCTGGATATACCCCAAGGTAACTGAGAGAAGAATCTGTCTTTTACCCCCATTCACTTGGCACTTATAGCAGGGAAATAGGCTCTTCTCTATGGTTTCTAATAACGGAGCTGCTGTTTGCTTTTACCAGTTAAAAAAAATTAATACTCAAGGTAGTGTTTAGCAAAGGGAAGTTGTTACTTTTCCAGGAATGTGTTTTTAATCCATGAGGGAATAGCATGAGAAGCCTATGTAAAACACTGTGACATCAGTGCATGGAATTAGCTCCTGAAAGAGGCTGCTACATTTCACCTAAAATGCTGGAAAAGATTCAGTGTGTTGTCTTTTCCTTGTTTGTGCTTATGCTGCTGTTGCACTTTTTTCGCAGGGTTCTCGATCATTTTAATGCTTAATATTCTGTTACTTTATGAGGTCGTTTTTTCCTCTGAAGAAACGAACCTCTGACTTTTCATGGCTGGGGAAAGATTCTCATTGACTTCAATGGGCTTTTGAATCAAGCCCTTAGAGAAAACTATGGCATATGATACACGCAGGGAAGAGGGATTAGAACTACAGGTTTTAAAAGGAAAGCAATGGTCTTAATAATAGCATCTAGTCCCTACCTCACATGGATGGTTTAGGGGATTAGTCAATGTTTGCACAGCACTTTGAAGATGTCAAGTGTATTCAAACAGCAGGGAACAAGTGGCCAAGCAGCTTCAGTCTGGGGTTCTTGGTTCTGAAATATGATCCAACTCTTGAGTCAAGAATGCTGAAAAGTCCATCAATTTATTTTAGCTTTTACGTTAGGGGTGGGTTGAGTGGTTATGAATGGATGGGGAGAGAGAGAGGTGAAAGCTGAAGAACAGAGGGGCTGGGTGGAAAGTATGGGGAGGGGCTAATGCTAACTGTTCGTATGATGCACTCATACCGATGGATAGGTGCACGGATGCATCACAATAAGTGAAAATAGTACTAATTGCTGCTATTATTATCATCATGTTAGGCACCAAAATCCATATTTAATCATCTAAATCAGAGGCTTGATTTTCAGAGGTGAGTCCTCTCCCCTCCCACAGCAGTCTATGAGAAACACAACTTTGAATAGGAGGGATACAAGATACAAATAAGCGTTTCAAATCAGGGTATCATATTAAAGGCCTGCAACTGAAAAATGGTTTAAGAAAGTTGCTTCAAACTATGCAGGCACATTCTCCTTTGCCTTTAGAATAAATCTGAAATTTTTAAGGCCAAAATTAATGGGGTGGCCCTATATTAAGGCTTTATAATGGAAGGTGGATATAACCTTTAATATTACCTTAATAAAGCTGCCACCCATTCAAACTAGGCAATGGAATGTTATTGTATGTACTCAGTGACTGTTAAATGACGCAGGCCTTCCCTTGCTGATAAAGGTGTACCTTTACGGTCCGTGTGGCTTGTAGATATTACTCTGATACAACAATAATAAGGAAAGTGGCAGTGTTTGTGCACTGGGCCCAAATGCCCAATAAGGCCTAAAATCTGCAGTGGGAATTTGAAAGAAATCAGCAGTGAAAATCCTTAAAGGTGTTGTGCAAACCCTGTATGAAACAACATTCTCTCTTTGCAGTTTGGAAAGGCGCACTGGGGAAAACCCATTCTTTGCATACAAGAGGACTCATTGAATTAGCAGGAGCCATATCCTGTGGTACAGGACGCAATGCTTTGGCATATCTAGGTTATGGATGCTACTGTGGTCTGGGAGGACGAGGTTGGCCTAAAGATAAAGTAGACTGGTAAGAACATCACTTATATGCCCATGTATAGTTCTGGTCTCTCCACTAAATTCTTCCCTCAGTTACATCCTTGTATAGGGTTGCCAGATGTCCAGTTTTCAACTGGAACACCTGCTCGAAAAGGGACCCCAGCGGCTCCAATCAGCACTGCTATCTGGTCCGTTAAAAGTCTGGTTGGCAGCACAGCGGGGCTGGCAGGCTCCCTACCTGGCTCCGCGCAGCTCCCCAGAAGTGGTGACATGTCCCTCAGCTCCTAGGTGGACAGCCGTGGGCTCTCCTTGCATTGACCCTGCCCCAACCTGAGTGCCACCTCCATAGCTCCCATTGGCCAGGAACCATGGCCAATGGGAACTGCAGGGGCAGCGCCTGTGCATGGAGGCAGTGTACAGAGCCACCTGGCTGCACCTCCGCCTAGGGACATGTTGCTGCTTGTGGGGGCCGCCTGAGGTGAGCGCCGCCCGGAGCCCATACCCCAAAACCCCTCCCACACCTCACCTCCTGCCCCAGTCCTGAGCCCCCTCCCAAACTGCTTCCCAGAGCCCACACCCAAACCCCCTCCTGCACTCCAATCTCCTGCCTCTAGCCCCTCCCACACCCAATCTCCCTCCCAGAGCCTGCATCCTGAGCCCCCTCCTGTGCCTCAACCCCCTGCTCCAGCTCAAAACCCCCTCCTGTACTCCAAACCCCTCAGCCCCAGCTTGGAACCCCCTCCTGCACCCTAAACCCTGCACCTCTACCCCATTCCCCAGCCTAGATCCCCCTCCTGCACCCTGAACCTCTCATTTCTGGCCCCACCCTGGAGCCCATATCCCCAGCTCAGAGCCTGTACCCCCTCCCACACTCCAAACCCCTCAGCCCCAGCCTGGAGCCCCCTCCTGCACCCCAAACCCCTCATCCCCAACCAATGCCCTCACCCCCTGCCACACACCAACCCCTTCCCCCAGCCTAGTGAAAATGAGCGAGTGAGGGAGGGTGGGAGAGAGCGAGCGACAGAGGGAGGCGGAATGGAGTAAGCAGGATTGGCGCCTCGGAGAAGGGGTGGGGCCTTGGGGAAGGGGTGGGGCAAGGGTGTTCGGTTTTGTGCAATTAGAAAGTTGGCAACCCTGTAAAACCCCATTCACCCCTTTGCCAAGTGCAAACCAAAAGAAAATTAGGCCTGGTTTGAGACCAGGAACTTAATTTAAAATGTAAATTAAATGTAAAATGGTGTACAGACAGCACTTGTAAGTGTGTGTCACATGGACATCCACAGCGGCATTGCCCAGCATATTCATGAGGACTTTTAACCTCTTGTGAATAGTGGCAAAGTTCCCTGGAGACAGGGACTCCACTAGGGGGTCCAGGTTGTGGCCACCCAAAACTGCTGCAACCTCACTTACTGGGGGTAACCAGTATAGTGTGTGGCGCTGACTGAAAAGGGGTCACACCCAAGGTGAGTGGATGCTTGGCAACACAGGAAAGGGCAGTAGTGGAAACACTGCTTTTCCTCTCCTATGGGAGAATCCCATATTGGTGCAGGAGCGACTCAAGCTCCTTGCAGTCACCCCACGTCTGTTTACTACATTAAACCAACAGATGATGTTGGCAGAACAGCATATTGTAACGGAGTAATAGTCTCTCCCTTCTCTGGCTTTTGTATTTGTTGAGAAGATGTTGAGCTGTTTATTTTCAGAGCAGGAGGCAATGCTCCTGTTCCACTGCAATACTTTTACTTCTCTTACACACCCTGAGTGGTGAATATTTAATTATTTTGTCTGGTAGGCTTTGATCTGCCTGAGTGACTGTGAGCTCTGATCCTTTTGCTATAGAAAATTTTTGCCACCGGCACAGTCTCTCTGCACCTTCAAGTTAGCCACACAATTCCATCTGCTTATCTAAAATCTATAAGCAGGGTGGCTCTTACACTTACCTTTTCCTTTCTTCAGGAAAGAAGGCAGGTGATATCAGCCCATTTAGTAAATACCTCACTGTGCTTTTCCAACATATTCAGCTGTTGCAGGCACTTGCAATTTTTCTAGAAAGCCTGGCCACATGAAAATCAATGGGAGTTTTGAAATTGACTTCAGTGGGGCCAGCATTTCGCCCTAAGTGGCTAAAATCAGGAACCCAACACGTGGAGGCACCCAAAATTAGTGGCCACTTTTGCAGATTTAAGCTTAACCCTTTAACTACAGCTATTAATGCCCCTTGACTGCTTTGCTTGGTTACAGACAATTATTTTTTAGGCAGTCAGAAATTCTGGGTCTGATCCTCAGCTGGTATAAACCAGCTCCATAGCTCCACTGGATCTGGCCCTAAACATTTTCCTTCTCATATTTCTTGGAGGAATCTTCTGGGTTCCTCTCCCTGATGACGCTGTTACAAAAATCAACACGTCATTCTGTGTAAGTGATGATGAACACAGCTTTTGCAGTATTTCCCATTGTAAGTACGAGTACTGTGGTAAAGCCAACTTCCTTGAGCAGTAAATGTTTAAAATGACTCATCGTTTAAACATTTCTGCTTTGCTACTGACAGCATTATAAAAGGTGTGATTTTATTTTCCTTAAATCAGTCTTCTCTGTCTAGATAGTTCAATATTAAAGTAGGTCTAAATATAGACTTTTTTTATTCTACAAAAAGGCATACTTCTGGGCAACTCATTTAAAAATGTTGGTTTCAAACACTGGCTTTGTTGTGGTATTCTAGTAGTTACATTTTCCCCCATCTCCTTCCATCCTCTCTGTCATTACAATGAAATGAACAAGTAGTGCTCATCTCATTCCTTCCCCTATCACACTCTGCTGGATGTTTTGTGAATTTCCCAGAACTTCAGATAGATATCGCTGTTTGAGCTCAATGAGCATGCAGAGGACTCGAGTCACAGTCACCTGATTCTGTGAGATGCTGATTGAAATCAATGGAAGTTAGGAGAGCCTAAACCCCTTTGAGGATCTGGGCCTATGGGAATGAGCCAGCTAGCCTTCTGCAAGACACAAAGAGAATGAGATTTTCCATTCTCAGTGAATTAAACAAAAAGAACAGAACAGACGACGGTGTCTGTTCCTCTAAAATTGCAAACAGAACCTATTGCCACAGTGACATTTGCTCATTGCACTTTTCTCCTCATCTCTGGTTGTCCTGGGCAGGGATTTAGCCAGTCAGAGCTGCTTATATCCTTAAGTGCAGGTTTTCTAGCACATACTTTATGAATAAGCAATTTCCAACTAGTAGAGGTTTGTATTAATCTTTCATTCCTGTTGCCCAGCCAGCCTGTAATCTCGCTGGCTAAGACTGATTGCATTTGGTACCATTAAGCAATAACCGGTGGGAAGGAAGGGCATTTCTTGACAGTGAGTGACCAGCTGAAGTTGTTGAGGGGTATTTATTCTCTTCTCTCCAAGGTGCTACTTCGGGGGCATCTGGAGGCAATTTTGCAAACTCTGAGCCTGTCTCCTCTCACTTTACACTGGCATAAATCAGGAGTAAGTCACTCCACGGAAGCTAATGGGGTTATATCAGTGTAAGACTGGTGTCACTGAGAGCAGAATAAGGCCCTCCTAGAGCGATGCAATCCTTCCATTTTTTACAAAGCCAATTTAGGAGCAGCCACTCCCCACAGCCAGCTGGTTCTTCTCATTAGCCCTTTCTTTGCTGTCCAGCTCCGCCTACTCTCCTCTTGCCTTTGCTCTGCTCCTTCCTCTCCCTCTGTGCCGCTGTTCTAGCTCCTTCCTTTTCTCTGGTTCCCCACTACTACTCCTTTTCTCTTGTCCTCTGGCTCCTTACTCCCCCTCCTCCTTCCTTTGCCTGCTTCTCTCCTGTCACTCAGGTCAGGCCCTCCACCAATGGGCTGCTCCTCCTATCCTCACTGCTCCTGAATTACCACTCCCCCTTTCACCTCCACCCACATGGCCAGCACCTCTCACCCACCTCCCAGATTGCTAATTCTTCCCTCCCTCTGATCTTGGCCTCTGAACTTTCAGAAAGAAAACCAGGAACAAGATGATCTGAAAGTAGGGAATAATTAACCCATGACTCATCATCACTATTATAAACCCAATAGAAACTTCCTTCTCTGTGTGTTGCATCTTGGGCAGCATAAGTTGTTTTGCTTAGCCATTAGCAAGTGCTACAGTATCCAATGGGAAAATAGGACCTCAGTCTGAATGTTTGGTTAGGTTTATAATCTAACAGGTGACGAGTCACATTCTAATGTCCTTTAGGTGTTGGGTTGCTGCTTTTAAATTACGTTTCTAGAATTCTGAATGTAGCAAATAATCTTGTGGTCATCATTGCTGATGTCATATAGGCAAGCTCAGAATAAACCTGGCATTTATCTGGCAGACAAATCTGTGGGACGAAATTGCTGCTTTACTAAATTGGGAGTACAGATGGAAGGAAAGCACTATGGGCTAAATTCAGCCCCTGTATAGTCACAGGAGGTAAAAGAAGGCTGAGTTTGACCCAATGGGCCTAATTCTCTTCTTGCTTTCACAAGATTTACCCAAGTCTAGCTCCATTGACTTCACTGACATTATTCCAGAGTTACCCCGGTGTGGGATCCAAATCAAACAAGTTATCTTTGCTTCTGATTACTTATGAACATAGGTGTGATGTGTGGCTAGGCTAGAGGGGGCTCAGCCACCCCTAATCTATCTCAACCTGCCCAGCTCAGCAGGCAAAGGCCTGCAGCTGGTGGCCCCAGCACCAGGAAGGGGATGGGACATTGTAGAGGAGGGGCCCTATCTGTGCGGGGACACATGTGTGATGTGGTGAGCACCTATGAATTCTGCAAGTGGCGACAGCCAACAGATGGGCCTGGGGACCCAGGCCCAGCCCCTCAGGACAGGAGCTGCCACTGCAGGGTGAGTGCGGAGTGAGCTTGGTCTCCAACCCCACCCTCCAGTCCTCCCTTCTACACCAGGCTAGGGTGGAGACAGTGACCCACATACACACCAGAGAGCAGGACTTGACACACACACACATCCCACCCCCAGAGATAACAGTAGTTATTAAGTTTT